ATGGCATACGAAATAAGTATTGCTTGCTGTTTTCAGCCAATCATGTTTTCTTATGAATCGCGTCTTCTAGTGACGTAGCGCTTTTATGACGTGAATGCGTGACACGAAGGCCGATCAAACCATAGAATATTTGAATCTTTAGTCGTCCATCATATTCTGTATATCAAACGATTGCACTTCTAAGCACAAAATTTGATTTGAACAGCGTTGTTTTCACAATATACGTAATTATAACGTCAAGGAAATGCCCTTCCTCTAGAGGACGCGACGTACAGCATAAATCTATGTCTATAGAATACGATCTATGTGTTTCCTAACATTTCTCACCTCCACTTACTATGTATGGGCCGCTTAGTTGCATCAATTTTGTGTAACTGTAGACATGCCTGGTTTGATTCGTCACACTGTAATTACCCTTTTCACGGCAACACTTTCCTGTATTCTCCTTGGAATAATGAATGCTCTCATTTAGTAAACACACATTCACACACTTTGTAAACACACATTTAGTAAACACACATTCACACACTTTGTAAACACACATTTAGTAAACACAGCGTCGACATCCTTCCACGTGTGTCTGTGTTGCGCAATAGAGGTATAAGCATGGTTGCACCAAGCTAAATGTCATTGTTATGTGTCGTACCGTATATGCATGTGTTACTTCGCTTAATGATGCACTAGTTTGTATAAACGAAATGTAATGTGGAGTAGTATGTGTCAAAAACGAGAAAGAGAATGTATGACAGAAAGAAAATCTGAATCACTTTTGAAATGCATTTTTTCACCTTAACTTCGGAACAATCACCACAGCGCCAATTTCGAAACATAACTATCGACATTTTTCCGTCTTCGGATACCTAAATTACATTATTGTGTGAGAGAATACCTCTCACCCATAGGTCATGTGATCATGTATTATTTCTATAACTCAACACTTAGACTTGTGTCTATACATATATTGGCAAAACACAACCAATTTGCATATTAAACATTTCCACATTCCACCATTCATATGTAGATATTGCATAATTATATTCTTGCATATTGGTTCACGCTTGAGAACGGTTCAGGATTTTAGAAAGGAATGTTTTCTTCAACTATTGAAAAAGTTGGCCAAATAAAATGAGTCTGAAACCTTTTTTGGTGGTGGGAATACTTCTACACTATGATGAGTGTGGCTGGGGGTAATGTTTCTTACTCAAAATATTGACGGAGTAAATAATATGAATATCAGCTATTATGTTCATGCAAATTTATATTCTATCAATGAGACAAACCCGTTTCTGCATTTTTTTTACGTTAACCACATATATAAATATCAAAATTATTCTATCAATTTATGCACAAAAACCATGGTAACGAGATAAATAGAATACAAGTATAAAGTAAAGAGAAAAGAAAAGGGGGTATGTCAACGTCACAGCATATTGAATGATTCTATTTTGCCTTTGTCGTTGAATTTGTCGTTAATCGCAACTCGTGGATGTGGTGTGTCAAGTGATGAAAGAAGATCTCCTACAGATGTTTTTTGAAGAATTGATGGCCAGCAACTTGTAAATAAATTTGCATTCGGTCGCGTGAAGTTCACTAGATGTTGACAATAATTGATTGAATGCTACTCTAAATCACTAGACTGTTATAATTAATTACTCTCTATCGCTGTCGGCTGATATGTAAATCTACGGCGGCAGAACTATATCATCATAATTGCGCCAGGTGTGCCATGCCATTGTAAGAAGCTTACATTTTTGATGAAAGGTATCATGATGACATACATTATATATACTAAACAACCTTGGTTGTCGCTGTGTTTTACTTAACTGGAAAGTACCCAAGAACGCATAACTATCTTTCTACCGGGATTTAATAATTTCCATCCTAAGATGTAATTAGACACTTGAACCGCGTACTTAATACATTTTGTTGGCATATGTACGTATTTGTTATTACTATGGTAACGGTTACTGTATGAAAACACAACATATACGTACAATCAATGAAATTTGGCCCATTTCTACAGAGTATGTTATTTTTCATTTATTTGCCCGAAACATACAAATTTCAAATATTAAAGCTATTCCGGAAATATCGGCGAGCATATTCTCTAGAGACAATGAAATGCTTTCACTGTAGAATGAATAAGATGATGGTGCTACAGCAACTCTTTTCACAATAATTCCGAATTACTGAAAATATTGTTATTTTTAAATTCACATTTTTATTACCTTGACCGTATCATGGATAAAGGAAAAGGTATATCATCATCATTTCCGGCGTAAATTATTCCCTGTGATAAAAGTTTTTATCTGAACTTTTTCAAACTTGGACATTTTAATATTTAGTTTTGGTTGATATGGCGATTTTATTTACATACAATTGTCTTTTTCTTGTGGTTACAATAATTCACAATAACAATTTGTGTCTGATCATATTTAATTACGTCGTTTTGTCTTATTAGTCATTATGACATTTTAAATCTTGGTTTGACCAGCAAATATAATTTTCAATATATGTGTTTATCATGGAAATGACGACATTTGTTAATTATTATATAATTATCTGTTAATTATTTTCATTTTAGTATACATTATTTTGCCGCCAGGATATACCCCCTAAATGTAGCTTGTATTGCTGTACTTATTACAAACACTTCATGTTAAATTAATCTATGAGGGACGTTGAGATTAATAGAGTATATGCAGTATTAATTGCCGAACATGTATATTCAATATTTTTAATGTAATTCTTCTTCATTTTTGATCAGTATTGTTCTGGCAAAAATTTTAACTATTATTTTCCGCGCAATTATTTCCGTAAATTTTGTTACTTAATATTTGTATTGCCAAACGCTCTAGGTTGTTGTAGTAGTTACACTAAGGTGAAGTCAATTTCAATGACGTGAAAATATATTATAATAAATATATGATAACATAATATGATATTTACGTTCGAACCATCATCATAACATGAAATGGCAACTATAGTGTGAATGAATGACGTAAATATCACTTCAAATGAATCACTATAATCAAGCGTATTTTAGGTAAATGTTATTGCTAAATCCCAGGATTGGAACATATTTTAGAATTGAAAGACAAGGAACTATATCTTTATTATAAGATGCAATTTCAGTAACGCTCTTAAGCATCTAAATGGCCACAATCGTTGATCTCTAAAAAAAAAGGAAAACATCACGCCAAGCAATGTAACATGAGTACAACCTTACGCCTGCCATGTCTAACAATTACAGTATGTTGCAGTTTAGGAAAGAGTCCGGGTATTTTGATTGATGTTAAAAACCTGCCGCCAATCGATTTCGAGCCACACAGGTTTGCCTGAAACTAAACACATTTTTCTTGTCTTATCTGCATAATCAACAATCATTTCCTCTGAGGCTCATTACAGTGATAATGACTGTTATCGTCAGTTCACTGAAAAAAAAGGATTAACAATCATGTGATATCACTTTCAGTATCTGCCTGGCATTTCTACTTTGATAACATCAGCCGTGCGCCTCATGTTTATATCTATATATGTATTTCTTTACTTTAAATCCTCAAGGATTTCCTAGCGATTCGTGAGTGACATAGTTCTAAATTAAACGTCGGTGGTGTTCATATAGCGTGACAATTTATTGAATTGGCAACTATCACGTGACTGTATTTTCACCACATGTTTTGATTTACCATTCCCATTCTTGTACTGTTTAAAAAAATACACGCACAACTGAAGGCAGTTTAAATGTGTACATTAATTAATTTAATTAATTAAATGGTTAAGACAATAACAAAACAACAAAATAACAAGAAGACGCATAATTTCAGAATCAGTGTTAACAAATTAGATATCTGTGCTTTGAGAACGTTATTTAGAACATTCGTTGTGACGTGAACTTATGTACCAGGAGTATTTAGTTGACATATTATGTAAGTACAGTTATTGAAATGAGAATCTCTGCTCAACTAGTATTATTTTATTTTATTATACATATGAAAGAAATTGCAAAATTGGCAATAAGTTATTTCCTAATAATTTCTAACACGCATTCATGGAATCATACCCACTCTACGAGGTTCGTGACATGGCGAAAAACTATCAGAGTCGATTTGAGGCGTAGCAAATTGATATTCAAAACAAATTTAATTTGTTAAACTCTGGGGTCAAACAGTTATGGAATGAGTATCTAAAATGCTAACAACCTAATGGAGACTATTATATTTTTCACCTCCCAAGAATAATGTCTTATTTACATACTCTGATTACATATCTATAATTGAATTAAATCAAGCATGGAATTGAATTTCCCTAAATAAACATCTGGTATCGCCTACTTAAAGAGACCAAGACAAGTGTGATTTCAACTTGAATTTATTACCTCAAATAATACATCGGTGCAAATAAATAATAAAAAAAAACATACTATCCATTTCCACATAATTCGTCTGGGTTTCAACCACTTTTGTATGCATTGTTTATATACCTATCCAATTATGGATTGTCGGCAGGGACTTAGAAATCAACAACTGAGCAGACTTGGAGCGCCTTCTCAGTGACAATTTATTCCTTATTAACATATTGGGACCTAGGCTCAATCGTAAGGTTACTTTAGTCACCTTTATACTATCAACGGGGATCAAAAAGGTCATAACGGTCGTAAGACAATAATGTAGTTTGATTTTCTTATTTATTGACTCTTATGTTGTCATTGGATGTTGACTTCAGTTCCTGTGTGAAATTTAGGTTATATGAATATTGTTATTTGTTATGATGCATAAAATATGCAGGGTTAACCATTTAGTTGCATAACCATAACCAATCAAAACAATCTGGTAGGTATTTGACTCCAAATTGCTGTGTTAATCTGGAATCTTTGCATACAAGCGTACCAGGCTCCAGAAAACAACATTATAAAATGCGTTTTTATGAGTCAAAATACTACCATTATCTTGTTTTAATATGTTGTCAATATTAACCCATTATTATTATTATTATTCCAGAAAGAAAAGTGGCTGTGTCACATGTGTCAAAAGCGTCGTCATTTGTACACCAGCTCTGGAATGTGGTATCATGGACATGGCAGCAGACCATGCCTCAGTAGAGGAAGTAGTTTAGAAGAGGTGTTCATGGCAGTCAATGCAGCTGTGAGTGATCACATTGACATAACTGTTTGTTTGTTTGCTCTCTTCTAGATTTAGTTGAGTATATTTATTGATGTTGGGCATTACTTCACTATTGCAGGATAGAAGATCGTCATCACCAAGATCAGAGGACTCCATGCTCTATGCAGGTGCACCAGGTGAGGAGAGAAACAGAAATCAGTTAGAACATTCTGAATCCTTGGAAGATAGACCTGAACATGAACTCAGATCGCGAGGTTCGTACATATTTCTAATTGAAAAGAAACCAACCACTAAGGCAAACGTAAGCACCAAAACATATTTATGTTAAGATGCAGAAGATACTTGAATGATAAATTAGCACATTTTTATATGGTTTCGTATTTATTGTTTTGTAGGTGTTGGACAAAGTTCTAGTGATGAGGATGGCAGCAAGTCATCAGATGCTAGTCTTAAAAAAGGCATGACTCAAGCGAAATCTGGTATATTAGAAGGAAAAGATATTGTAAACGATGACCATTCCACAGATAACATTAGCCCAAGTTCCACCTATGATAGTGGTCTAGGAGCAAGTACAAAAATATCATCTACAGAGGAAATTGATATGGATGAATATCGTACGCAGTCAAGCAGTGAAGGTGTTGTCAATTTATCAAAACAGGACATGCTAACGTCAGTGAATGAAATGAAAGAGCATGAAAGACTTGTTAGATCATGTGTTCATGATTTACATGATATTACAGAATCGCCAGAAGAAGTAGAGCAGCATTCTAGGCTTGTTAAAATGAGGTCTCTAAGTTTGCAGAGACAAGATACAGCAGAGTCATTGGATGAAGCGGAAATGCAAAGACAATTGCTAGAATTATGTACAGCTGATAGTTTGGATGAAGATGAAATGCAAAGACAACTGCTGGAATTAGCTGGAACAAGTTATAGCTTAGAAGAAGACACACCAGGAGAGCCAATCTCAGAAAATGTGGTATCAGATGTAATAAGTAGGGCTGCCGAATCTCCTGTAGGAGATCGATTTGGTGCTTATGGAGAGGAATCTCCAATTCCACACCCCCCACAACATGCAGACATTCAGGAAACAATTACTGTACCAGAACACTTAGATAAAAGCCAAGAAACTGTGCAAGCTAATGATTTTTCAAAAGAGAGAGAAAGTGCCTCGTCTACTCTAAAAGCCTCTAAAGAAATATCAGTAAAACACAAAATTGAACTATTTGAAAATAGAGATTTGCCCTCAGATGACAGAGCACATACACTTCAAAAATCCGCATCTGTAGGCGAACAAAGACCACAGAGGATATTGCAAAATTCATCTTCTCTCAGTAATGACAATCTGGGCGACATCCCACCAGTTAGCAAGGTACAATATAAGAAACATCAACAAGATTGGGCTCATGAGAGTCTAAGTGATAGTGAAATAAAAACTGGTAGCAAAAAACTGACAATTGAATCAGGATCTCTTGCCAGTAGCAAGCCAGCACTAGCAAAAAGTGATTCAAAGCTAGCTAACACTGGTAAAGATGAATTGATAGGGCTTGATGTGTCACTAAGTATAGAATCAGGAATTGGTAGTATGGACAGTGGTCTTAATGGAAAGGATGGGCAAAATGGCAGTTCACCAACCCACCCAGAAGAAGGTCCAGAAATACGTTACCAGTCTTTTCATGATCTTCGAAATGTGGGAAAAGAAGACCCCAAATCCCAGCACACACCACAGTATACAAGACCAAAGCCAGCAAACTTACCAAAACGGCGGAGGTCTAAACCTGTAATGGAAATTCCTTTATCTCCAATATGGGATGTAGAGGTTGTGACTCCGGAATCTGATCATCCAGCTGGAGAATTTCAATCTCCTGAGTATTCGAATCCAGAACTAGCAGAAGAATCACCAATTGAGCCTATAGATAATGTTGATTATGTTACAACTGAAGATACCCAGAAAGTTGTCACTTCCAATGCTGCAAGCAAGGGGTCAGATGATTATGATTCACTGCAAGAACATGCTGCCAAATACACACAACAATTAGAGGAGGCAAACAATGTGCCTGAAAAATCCATTTGTTTTGGTTTGCAGAAACGTGCCTTAGATGTTGTTCCAGAGGAATCAGCTGAGCTCATTAGAGAAGAAGAAATTCAACAACAATTATCAATTGTCTCAAAAATAAACCAAGAGTCTGAGAAAAAAGAAGGTCTGCCTCAACCTTGCCAACGGCCAGAAAAAATCCAAACATTTACAGAAGAAAACATTCCTACTCACGATGTTACAGCAGAGCATAGTGTGTCAACAACAACTAAAAGAACTGAAAAGGAATACAAATATTATATTGAAACTTTTAAACAACATTCACCTGAGGAAGACTCGACTTCAAAACTGAAAATCGAAATTGAAACTTCAAAAGGAGATGAAGGATTATTTAACACTAGTTCAGAAGATGTATCTGCACAGAAAGCAATTGTTCAGGATATAGCCACTAAAACGAAAGAACCATATAAAGAACTTGATCAGAAACAAATGACGAATGAGGAACTAAAATATAATGACTCTATGAGTGATACAGGCAGTCAATCTTTAAATGAAAAAAATGAGTTTCATCACAACATAATTAAGAATTTCGATACCATTGCAACTGTTGTCAAAGACAGGGGTGGTGCTATATTCGTGGTATCAAAATATGAAGAAGCAAACGATGAGAAAGAAGATAAATCACCTAGTAAATCACCAGAAAAGCCAAGAGCAAAGACAAGTGATGCACAATTATCTTGCAAGAAAAGACAAAAACCTGTGCCACTTCCAAGGACAAGTAAATTGCCTGTTGGGGCCAGTGGATCTCAAAATGATTCAGTGGAAGAAAGTGCCAGAAGTGCACATCTAGATGAAAGGCTGCCAATTCTCAAAACTGAAAATGGTGGAAATAAAAAACGAATTCGTCGAACTCTCCCTTCAACTATGATTGCTTCCAAGTCAACTGATACTCTACCCCTTTACAGCAAAGCTACTTCAAGTCCAACTAAGACGACAGGATCATACATACGTTCACGATCATTAGATAATATTTCTCATTCTAAATTACCCCAGAAGTTAGTGAAACAATCTGATATAACACAGACACAACCTGATGAGCAGTTAACATCTATTGTTGCTAGGCAATCACCCACTACACATTTTCTTGAGTGTCAAATAAGCAAAGACAGTAGTGTTGGGTCGCAAGATTCTATTCTGGAATCGCCAATAACACCTGAACTTGTTACAGAGACATTTTCGGATCCAAAGCCAAGTAGCCCAACACTTGAACCTCCAAATAAATTAACAACATTCAATCTCGCAAGTCCACCTAAAGATATTAGACAACGAGGAACAAAACTAGCACTTGAAAGAAATGACTCAAATCGAAAACAACACCCTCAAACTAAAACTGTTGGGAAGACAGGAGAAAGAAGCAGACTTCCTCTTCGAAAACAAAAGGAGTCAGTTGATCCTGATACAAATTATACTAAGCCAGGCAAGCCCCCTAAACCACCAGTACCACCAAGAAGAACAACAAGTACAGGTATGGGGAAAAGTTTTGAAGGAAAGCTGGAACCTACAACAAGAATACCAACCACGGACACAAGCACAGAAACTGAATCCAATCAAACACCAAAGCATACAAAAAGTATTTCTACCACTGTAGGTGCAAGTTTTGATGAAAGGCGAATAATGGGAAGATATTCCCCAAGAACAGCAACTGATGCCGATACATCAACATATGACCAGTTATCAGAATCTATGCGACAAAAGAAGGAAATGTTGAGTGAAGCTGTAGGTACTAGTTTTGACCAACCTGTGTCTTTATCAAAAACGGAAACTACTGAAACTGGCACATCACCACAAACACCAACAATTAAGAAAAGTACAGCAGTAGGTAGCTTTGAGATGGATGAGACAAAGCAGATGGTTGAGTGTGGAACATCGCCACCAACTCCAACAACCAAAACCCACCAGAACATTGCGACAGGGACTAGTTTTGATGAAACATGTAGCACAGAAATGACAGAGAGAGGAATATCCTCACTAAGCAGTCCAAGAAACAGGCATATAGATTCAGAACAAAGTGCATCTAGTAGGACAGCTGAGTCTGTTTTAGGAACAACTGGCATCCCCAACAGGTATAGTGGGAATCATCAGATATTCGTATGTGCGAGTCAACAAAGGAAATCAACTGACAGAAAAGCTCTCCAAGAAAAAATTAAAGCCCTAAAGATGACAACCGCGAGTATTGGAACAAATACAGAAGAGTGCAAAGCTGCTACACCTGTGACCAGTGATGACGAATACCATGTACCTATGGCAATTAAAATAAGAAATCGTTCACTTCATGATAGCGAAAGAAGGAGCTCATCTTTGCCTTCTACACCAAGTCGTATTCCAAGGACACCAAGTAGGGTAAGCCAATAATCGATAATGATCACTGAATTATATACATCTACAGTGTTTTGTTATCAAATATAGATAAACATGAATATGTATATATTATGTATGATGGAGTGTACGTATTTCATGTTGTTATTTGATCAACGAGAGCAATTGATTCACAAGAGTCTTTCTAGTTTGTTCAGGTAATTATATTACTGAAACCACAATGTGCTAAGCATGTTTATCAAAAAATGTTTACTTGCAGTTGTTATTGACTTATGACAACACAATTACATAGCAAAAACTAAATCCGAGACGAATTTTGTAATTCTGATGTGGGACTTTTGATATACAGTTGGGAATATTATTAAAATTCTGGAGGCAGCTACTGCTGACTGAGATGTCAAATCATTTACCAAGGAAATTTCAATTCTGGCTTTGTGGTACACAATTCTATATGTGCACTGTGGCTGATTAAACAGCATTGTTTAATTGCATTTAGCTAGGCTAAATCATTACTAATCTTCCAAATTTATTTCAGAGTGCCTCAAGTGACACAGAAGGATTTGATAGTGACATGGATATTTCAAAAAGAATTCGACGAAAACTGCCAGAAATCCCACCTGGTGCAGTACCAGTACAAGTACCTAAAAGAGAAAGAAAGAAAAAATCGGATATTGGAATGTCAAGAATGGACCCTGAGAAGGCAGTAGAAATTGAAAAGGTAAAACAGATGCTGTATAAAAAGGCTGAGGAGTTAAAGCAACAACAAAGTAGGAAAGAACAACAACCACCACCACCAAAAGATACTGGTAAGCAATGCAGGTATCTAAGCTCGGATATTAAATCGGAGAAAAAGAATGGCAATGGTAAAAAGTCGACTTCATTCACTATCCGGCAATCAGCTATTGGCGGAAAGTCGGGAAATGGAAATATGCCTAAAAGGTTATCACCACCTCATGGTTCAAAAAAGCAGTTCCAAGCCTCAGATAAATCAATTTCAAAACGATCATCCCCTCCACATGAGAGGTTTGGATTCAAGAGAACATCGCCCACCCAGACCAAGTTTGAAGTAAAAAGTCAATCTAAGAAAATTGATGATGAAGATAGCAATTTAACTTCGATGGTACATCTGACAAAGTCAGAAGAAGAAATCATAAGAGAAATTGAAAAACAAATCAGTGACACTTCTGGGACTGAATACCGTGCCTTTGAACCAGCCGAAATTAGAAAAGAGGTTCAAAGAAAATATGCAGACTATGTGTGCGAGGACTATGGATATAGTAGTTTCAGTCAAACAAGTACAGATGAACCTGTATCATATTTATCATCCTACGTGGACAATGATAGCATAGATAAAAAACAAAAACAAATGACTACCACTTATTCTACTAAATCAGAACTAGGTTCAAGCTCTTTTACAACATATGAAGATATGTGGGAGCAAGATAGTAAAACTGGTTCTGAGAAAAGACACATTCATTCCGTCTTGCATCATGACAGTGAGCACAAAATTGAAAGTACGGGATCGTCAATCAAAGAAGAAAAAACAAAGAGTCGTCTACCAGTTAGACAAAAATCAGAATCCAAATCAGAAACTCGTAAAAAATCGGATATGGAATCAATAAAAACTAGGACAGAAAAAACTAAGACGTCAGCTATGAAATACCAGTATGTTGCAAAACCCGAGAAAAAAGCTACTGCAAGGTTACAAGTTAAAGGACATTCTCCAGAAAATGCTAAAAAAAATGGGCGTGATAAAAAAGACGAGGACCTTAGTCCGAGCAAATCGCCAAAGTCTCCAGCTCGGGTGTCTCCTCAGTCATCTCCTCAGAGACGTCGGCATCGAAGACAGAATTCAGATCCACATGTTCAGAAGTTTTCTCCAATCAAGGAAGATAGCGACTTTGAGTCACAACTTTGTTCAATTGATTCAGCATATGGGTCAACCGTCAAGAAACTGGAAAGGCAATCATCATCCACAAATAAGCCAGTAAGACGGAGAAAAGACACACCAACAGTGATGCCACTTCCAGATGAAATAGTGAGTTTTATTTCAGTATATCACTACCAAACCATTACTAATAGTAGTTATATTGCTAGTATTAATTTTCATCTCCAAAGTAATATTAACTACATGATGTCAATTAACATATTAAAATGTCAACGTTATAATAACTTTATTTTAATATTTGTATTGTTCATGTAAGATTCGAACATTTCGTAAAACTATTCGTATTCTCACATTCGCAGATCACGGAAGAGGAACGCATGAGTAATGAAGGTGAAATGATAGAAAGGAACATTAAAGCTGGAAAAAGAGAACAATTGAAAAAAGAAATAGAAAAACGAAAGAAACAGATGGAAGAGTCCGCAAAACGTCTTGAGGAAATTAAAATAATGCGGCGATTTGATTCGGACTTAGATACAGTAAAAATGAGTTATAGTTATGATGATAAACTTAGAAATATAGAGCCAATTTCACTCGGTGAACGAGAAAGGCAGTATGGGTCCTTAGAAACAATGGCTTTAGGAAGAAACATTCCAGACATGCCACACTCAAGTGTCACGTCATCGGGAGATATTCACCAATACAATGATCAACACATTATTTTTCCATTAAAGAGCGAACACCTTGGATTGCATGGGATAGGTGACGATCACGATTTTCCTTTAGAAAAGAAACCCGCAGGTCGACAAATACATTATGATGAAATAACTGGAAGTGCAGTTCATATTGTGCAACCACGACCTAGCATGGTTTCTAAAGAAGACCAACAGAAAAAAGCAGTGTCTATGCGTAGAAGCAAAGGATTACCCGACAAAGATACAAGAAGCCAAGTGACACTGGAAGCTGGAAAGGTAAAATTCCATTATTGCAGTGTCACTCACTTCTTGTAGTTTTTACCGCCTTAACATGCTAGATTGGATAATTAACACATACATTTAAAATTTCCACAACCATGATGGTTCATATTGTCGTATTAAGTATCGACTACTAATGAATGGGAAAAATAAATAAATAAATAAATTAAATTTCATTCATTTTTTCATTCACTCCACAGAACAGAAAAGGTAACCTTGATGTACATGTTAAAGATATACATACTGGTACCTCATATGCTACTTCTGATGACGTAATACCACCGAGTCCAACTAGAGCTATGCTATCCAGGACAAAGGCAATCTCTGTGACGTCATCCAATTCGGGTATGCACTACATGCATTGATATGTCAATCAAGTACTCTTAGTATAACTCATTGTAATCTACTCAATATGTTGATGAAAACATCGTTGTCAAACTAACCATTTATATTTTTATCAGATGCCAGCGAAGAAAGGCAGAATTTCTCAAAACAAGATTCCGTTAAAAGTGATTTTTCATCTGCAGAATACGGCAGTTATGGTGAGAGAAGTCATATCATCTTATATATCCCATATATATATATATTAACAGTCCTGTGTAATTATATTAATTTAAATATTTCAAATATTGCTAAAACGCGCGTGTTTTAAAGCCGCGTATATGTGAGATCTCATTTAAAATTCCAAACTTCTCGTGAAACAGCCTCGATTTGAATTCTTTGCAAAATTAATAGCTATGTAACCAATGCATAACAGAATACACTAACAATAATGCAAATGAGCCATAACACTCTTAAGTAGCGATCACATCTCATTTAGCTTTTAGAAGCTGTGAAATTATTGCATGCGATAAATAGGATACCAAATTGGCGACCCTAAAATATCAGAGTGATGAAACTACTTTGGTCAATATCAGTATTTTAGGACACATGTCATAATGCATAATCATGAAAAACAATTATTTTTTAATGTGTATATTTGAGGCTGATTGCTTATAAAATGACACTATAAATTATTTATGCATATAGATTTTCGACTAACGGGGCGTGAGACAGACTGGTCAGAACATCGCAACGATAGCGATGAGGAGAGTTATGGGTCGAGTTCTTTGTATAAGGGCCCACATAAAAGTAGCGGAATACACCGTCGGGTAAGTATTACAGTTTGTGCTTAGTGATGTTACACAATGTCTGCTATAGCAGAAATAACACCATACCCAATGTAAGTGTACTTAAAAAAACACAAAATAGCAACAGCCTGACAGAATTTCACAATCAGTTAGTAAATGAAGCATATTACCTCAAACCAAGGATTTACATTATTGTTTTACAGAAAACCCCGTTTACTGGACCATTGAAATATGATTTTGAAACGAAAACATTTCTGTTTAGTCGCGACCCTAAAGACAGATCTGTGCGAGGTAAGTAGATTTGTCTCTCTCTCTGGTACTTTTATATCTGACACAATAAACAACAAAATAGAAATGCAAATGCCTGCCGCCATCTCATAAAGCGCTGCTGAGCCACGAGACTTGATTTTTGCCTCTCACATAGTATTCCATTCTCTCTTATCAGCACGTTCCCAGTTGCAAATGCTATGGTTGCATAAGTCAATGCAAAAGTGGAGAAATAAAACACAACCGTATGGTTACCCTCAATGACATTTCGACGGTCATTTGTACCTGAAGTTTATTAACTACAGTAGGAACAAGTAACAGCTACGGAAACTGCCCACTGTATTATTACCATATTAGGGTCTCATTTACCTAAAAATATAAGTTATATTTATATCATCGAATAATCATAATTTGACTTGAAGCTTGTGTTTCAGGTAATGGTCTCGGATTGAAAGTTGTCGGCGGCAAACACGTACCACGAACAAATAACATAGGCGCCTACATAGCAGCGATATACCCAGGAAGTGTGTGTGAGCAGACTATTGATTTGAGAGAAGGTGACCAAGTGCTTGAATGGAATGGTGTCAGTTTAAGTGGGCTAACTTACGAAGAAGTGCAACAAGTAATAAGGTCTTCGGACGGGGAAGTGGAATTGAAAGTAAAATGGTGAGCCAACAATAAGACAACATTAAGCCAACAATAAAAATAAACATGTGACGATATGTATTGTTGTCAATTTGTTGTAATATTTATTCCATGTGAAGAATTGTTCATGTGCAGTATGCATTAAATGTATCTATGTTCTATTATTGTTTTTTTCAAAGTGGGGCAAATATGTGCGAATCACCGCGACGTCCACCGCCCAGTAAACAACCAAGCGAGAGCTATCAATCTTCAATTGAAAACATAGCGGGCGAAGGTAGGCGCGTAAATTTTAATTCACCTCATCTTTGTGTAAACAAACGTATTAAACACACGTCCTATACGTCGATATGCAAAATATGCTGCTCACGCGGTCAATTACTTACTTATTATACAACATTGTTATACTTTTTTAGTTGATATATCAATGAAATGATGATCTTATTTATTTCCATTAGTACCCAATACGACAGATGATCAACAAAACTCGCCAGGTCTTGGAATTGATCCAAATCAACTGAGCAGACGATTAGAAGGGATATCAAGAGCTCAATCTCAGTCGGATTCTAGTGGATCGGTAAAACACAGCAGTCCTACGAAATGGCCACAATCTCCGACTGCGTCTTCGCCAAGCGAACCTTCAACACCAAAGGTAAATTCACATAGACTATTTCATTCTAGGTGGTATTAACTTTGTATTAACATATGAAACCATACACGACGATCAACTAATATGATATATACTTGTAATTACTAACGCGCACATGGAAAGTAAAAGAAAAAAATCGGGATTTTGCATCCACAAAGATCAAATCGTGATTTCTAATTATCACGTAGGCAACGTTCAGGACACATTTGATGGTTATAAAATCTATCGTCTTCTTTAAACGTGGTAGAACACGTGATAAGGTATGTGATGTAATCGACTCAAACAATCTATGTGGTGACGGGATCTGTGTAATTTCTTAGTTCTGTAATCTCTGTTATCCTGTTAGTTACTGAAATTACTATGGACCGAGCATTGTCATTAACGTGGTTTTCAGTACAAAACCATTAGGTAATCACCGTACTTGACAGCTTTTATTTTATAACATGACCTTTGTAGCATTCACGCCACTCCGCATATCAGATAATGCATTAGGAAGAGTGAACATTTTCAGAATAAAAGATACATACACAAGAATCAACCTCATAACTGCGATAATCGACCAATCCCTGCTCTGACAATTACATCTGATTCCTCCAAGCTCAGTATTCTCGCAACGGAGTATTTTTATGTTCGTATTCAACAGCAAATTGCCCATAAAACATCAACATATGGATTATCTATTAACGTCTTAGCACTAAGAGTTCTACATTCAGTGCTGCAATATACTGCAATGTATGTTATGTTGTCAATATATTATGTTTAATCATTATTATTATTATCATATTTCTCAAATTGATTTACATATCAATATTTGCTTGCCGAATATAATATGACATTGTATATATATCTCTATACATTTTATTTTATAATTATATCATTGCAAGTTTTCTATAAGACAATATAACGTATGGTGTAAGCGTCATTGCATTAAATTCAAACTCTCTATTCTTCTACATTTTCCCTTTTCTTATTTGCAATGTTCTTATAACTTTGTCTGATATTGTATCTTCAGTGTCACTATTTGCTATGTAGTTTAATGATGTACTAACTATGTTTCCACACGTGTTAATGTCATTTGACACCATCTGTACAAATTTCAAGTCATTTGTGTTATTAATAGTTATAATATTACCGTTTCGCTATGTCTTCGCTGATGTCTTCACTCACTTT